AGACTAAAAGGTCCCAGGTTCGATTCCGGTCAAGGACATGTACATTGGTTGCAGGCACATCCCTCATAGGAGGTGTGCAGGAGGCAGCTGGTCGATGTATCTCTCTCATTGATGTTTCTAGCTCTCTATCCCTCTCTCTTCCTCTCTGTAAAAAAATCAATAAAATATATTTAAAAAAAAGACATTCCCTGGAAGGTGAGGTAAATATACTTAGACAAACTTTAACCCAAAACTGGTAATAAGAGACAAAGATGGCCAGTATATAATAGTGAAGAGGACAATTCATCAAGAAAATGAATTCAAAGCAATCATATGTAACAGATCTGAGAGAAATAGACAGTATTGTAATAGTTGGGGACTTTAATACCTCACTTTCATCCAGACAGCACATCAACAAGGAGACATTGAACTTGAACAATACATTAGTCCAAATGGACCTAACAGATATGTATAGAATCCAAAAGGAGAATACACTTTCTTTTCAAGTACATCACAGCACTCTCCATGATAGAACATATAATAGGAACTAAAAGAAGTCTTAGTAAAATTAAAAAAAAAAAAGATGTAAACTACAGAAAACATCTTTTCTGGCCACAACGGTATGAAACTAGAAACCAACAAAAGGAAAGCTGGAAAATCTACATACATGTGGAAATTAAACATAACTTCTGAACAATCAGCTGGTCAAGGAAGACATCTAAAAACAAATGAAAGCACAACATACCAAACCATGGAATGCTGCAAAAGCAATTCTGAGAGGGGATTTTATAGTGATAAGTGCATATATTAAGAAATAGAAAGGTCTCACATAAACAGCCTAACTTTACACCTTCAGAACTAGAAAAGAACAAATTAAACCTAAATTTAGTAGAAGGAAGGAAATAGAAAGATCAGAGTAGGAACAAAATAAATAGATACCTGAAAGAAACAAATCTTTGACTAGACCATGGGGGGAAAAAGACAAGATCAGAAATGAAAGAAGAGATATTACAACTGATACTTACAGAAATGCAAAGGATCGTAAGAGACTAGTATGAAAAGTGAGAAGCTAACAAATTGGATAACTTCTAAGAAATGGATAAATTCTTAATGAACAACATAAACTGATGTGCAGAAATAGAATCAGAGTCATTGAAGCATCAAACAGACTGTCCAACCAACAAAGGAAGGCAGGGGCTGAGGGGGGTAAGAGATTAACCAAAAGACTTGTATGCAAGCATATGAGCATAACCAATGGACACAGGCAGCTGGGGAGTGGTCAATGGGGGGAAAAGGAGACTTATGTAATACTTTAAAAAAACAAAGAATTAAATAAAAGAAATGGATAAATTTCTAAAAATATGCCAAGACCTAACTAGGAAAAAAATAGAAAATCTGAACAGACCAGTAATGAGATTCAATCGATATTCACAACCCTAAGACCAGGTGGCTCCACTGGTGAATTCTACTAAACATTTAAAGAATAAGTAACATCAATCCTTTCCAAACTCTTCCAAAAAAAATGAAGGGAACATGTCAAAACTCATATGAGGCCAGCATTACCCTGATACCAAAGCCAAGTAAGGCACAAAAGCAAATTCAACTAGTAGGGCTACGTTAAAATGAAAGCTTCTATGTAGCAAAAGAAACAACAAAATAATGAAAAGGCAATGTACAGAATGGGAGAAAATATTTGCAAACTACATATTAGTGAAGAGGTGAATATTCAAAATGTATAATGAACTCATATCTCACTAACGAATAATCCAATTAAAAAATAGAGGAATATTTTCCCAAAGAAGATATACAGATGGCCAACAGATACATGAACAGATGCTTAACGTTTCTAATCATCCAGGAAGTGCAAGTCAAAACCACAATGTGGTATCACCTCATACCTGTTAAAATGGCTGCCATCAAGATAAGAAATAAGTGTTGGTAAGGATGTGGCAAAATAGAATCCTTGTGCACTGGTGGGGGAATGTAAATTGGTTCAGCCATTATGAAAAATAGAGATTCCTAACAATATTACAAATTGACTGAAGCACTGTATGATCCAGCAACTCCACTCTTGGGTCTGTATCCAAAGGAAATGAACACAGGATATTCAAGAGATAGCTGCACTACCATGTTCATTACACTACCATGTTCATTACGTTATTCGCAGTAGCCAAGGCATAGAGACAACCTAAGTATCCATAAGTAGAATACTATTCAGCCAAGAGAAAGAACATTTGCAACAACATGGATGGACTGAAAGGCTATTATGATGAGAGAAGTCAGACAGGAAAAGACAACAATATGATAGCACTTACATGATATGTGGAATTGAAAAAAAAACAAACTCATAAAAACCACAGAATGGTAGTTACCAGGGGCTAGGGAATGAGGAGATGTTGAAGGTAGAACCTTGCAAACAAGTTCTAGGTTTACAGACAACAGTACTGTATTATCATCTGTAGAGATGCTAAGAAACTAGATCTTACTTGTTCCACCACCAAAAAGAAAAGATAATTAAGTGATAGAGATGCTATAGTGGTAATCATATTGCAATATATAATTGTATCTAAGCAAGACGTTATACACCTTGAATGTACATGCTTTATATGTCAATTATATCTCAATAAAGGAAGTTACCATCAGAAAAATATCCAAGAAGACTAGTAGTTTTCAAACATTCACCAAAAGACATTTCATAGCCCAAAGCTTAACAGGTGAGCTATGCTAGTGTGTCAGCGAAATCTGAGGCCTTTATAAGCCTGTGGGAAGCTTAGCAGGATGCTTGGGAGCTCTGGGATAGCACAGTCACCATCGAGAAGGGGGCATCTTTGGTTGATTCCCCATTTTAAAAAGGCCGCCCTCCTCTGCCAAGGACCAGACTGCATGGGCAGGGAACATCTGGACTCAACAGGGCGGGGCTGTGAGCTCTGCCTGCAAATTCTAGGTAAGGGGAACCTCAGTGAGTGGCCAAAGCCATGGCTCCAGGCCAGAAGCATACCTTTGTTTCACAGAGAGACTGCCTGAGGGAGTGGCTCTGGGCTGAGAGGAGGGTGCTACTCAACATCTCATGAAAAACCAAGGGCATCTCCACCCATTAGCATCTAATTATCTGAGATGTCACATTTTAATTTCTTCTTCACCATTTTTATAATACATTAAAAAAACTAGTATCCGGTCAGCGGTGAATATTTAATCTCAAAAGTATGTTGTTTGGATGCTGTGCTAAGCAAGATGGGTTCATTTCCCTTCCGATTTTTTTTTGTACTCAAATTTATTTAATTCCTACTCTCTGTAAATTCCCTTGTATTACAAGCCTCGTTCTAGATTGCAGCCCTGCCTTCTTGTGAATAAGGTCTATTGTATGTGTGAAAACACAAAGAAAAATGACACAAAGGAGGAGAAGAAAGTAGAGCTTCAGGATAAAGGGATAATTAGAACATGGCTGCACGAAGGAATTGTAATGAAAGGGTTGTGTTTGAAATGCATTGGCATGTTACTGTATATAGAAGTATGAACTTTTCTTCCCAATTTTGTTTTCAATATTTCCTAGATCCTTCTTACAAATGCACACCACACCAAGCAACATAAAAATCTAAACCAATTCATGTTCCTAAGTTACCAACTTTAATATCAGGTTTAGTCAAGATTGAGCAGTTAAATCCTTCTTTCAGGCACAAACAGAAGAGGAACATGCAACAACCAGGGGCAGCCACACTGGCGAAGGGCAGCTTCTGCTGACCCAAGGCCCTGACACCAAGGTGATCTAGATTCCTCCCGTGGTTCGATGATGCCATGGAATGAATTGGTTGGCAGGCCAAATCTGGCCCAATAATTGTTTTTGTACACTTTTAAATGGTTGGGGGAGCGGGGGGAATCAAAAGAATATTTTGTGACGTGGAAATTATATAAAATAGTTTTACTGGGACACAGCCATGCTCACTCATTTAGAGATTATTAATGGTTGCTTTTTAGACTACAAGGGCAGGCCACGTTATTGAGATAAGAATCACAGAACCTACAGTACTTACGATGTGGCCTTTTAGGGAAAAGCTTCTGCTGGCTCCTGGATCAGGAGGCAAGCCATGGACTTGGTGACAATTTAAGGGAAAATAGATTTTGGGTGTTTATTAAAATATATAAATCAAGTATGTCTCCTGATTTCAGAAATATTAAATGTGAAAAATAAGTCTGTGAGTCAGGAGATATGGCACCAGCTAGATCTGGCTTTCCAAATATTACGCAGATTCTCTGAGCCTTTAGGAAATGCTTTCGGGAAAAGCCTTGTACCGGGGCTGAGCTAGGTAAGGGGGTGGTCTAGCTTATAGGCTCTAGAATCTCCATCACTTACGCCTTCCATTTCTGACTGCCCTCAGGAGCCATTTCCTTTTGTTCCTATAGTCCCTGCAGATCATACCCATGTACAGCTGACTCTCATTGTCCACAAAGTCATTGGGAACAGTGAATTCCAAACACTGAACCTTCACTCCTAGGGAAAATATGGAGTTAGGTTCCTATGACATTTTCATAAAATCTCTATTTAACCTTATTTTATGTGTGTTTCTCTTTAAAGACTCCTTATTTAATGTACATTCCTTAACATTAAACTCACATTCTACAGCACCATACCTCATACTGAATGAAGCTTACTGAACACTTATTTTCTCCATGAAGCACATCACAGCCTCCTGCCTTAAGAACACAAGACAGTGTATGAGCACTACATTTGGGACAACTTTAAATAGCAAAATCACTAACAAAAATGCAAGAAATGTGTTATCAAGTAGATCATGAAAAGCACACTCATTTATGAGCTGAAACAAGAAGGGAGAATTTCACCTTGTTTGACCTTCATTGGGAACATGCACTTCAGGTGACTCAGTTTATTACTCTGCTCATGCCTGTGAAAGTGCTGAGAGTATTGATTTGGGGGGGTGGGAATTGCAAGTATTTTAAATGTTTTAGTTAATCCTCACCTGAAGACATTTTTCCATTGTCTTTTGAGAGAGAGTAGGAGGGAGGGAGAGAAACACACATAGATTGGATTGGTTGCCTCCCGCATGCACAGTTGCCTGGGATCAATGCCCTTAACTGGGAATTGAACCTGTGATCCTCGAGTGTATTGGTCATGCTCTAACTCTTGAGCATCACTGACAGGGCTGAAGGATACAATTTTAACTACTGGGCAAACTCAAAAATACAGAATCTGCGAATAATACTTGACTGTGTGAACCTATATACACTTTCTAGTTCCTTTAACCATGACCTTGAACAACTGGCATCTTCAATGTCAGTCATTTCATATGATCTGCCCTAGTCCAAAATGGCACTGATAATAACATTCCTCTTTTCTGTTGCTTAACGAAGTCTCTGTCCCTTAGGATATTTTTTCACTATTTTTGTTTTAAATTAGACCTGAGGTTTAAGGCTCCTTGCGAGTGTGTGGACCAGTCTCCAGTTTCCTTCTATTGGACACCCTGCTCCACTGAGGCTTCTGCCTTCCACCCCTGCAACTTCCATGGACACATCTGCACGGGCCACCAGTGGTGCTGCTTCCACTTTACTTAGTGGAACCCCTTGTTCAAAGCGTATGAAGGACCTCAAGATGGAGACAGCGGAACAGGAAGCAAGAGTGAGACCCTTCAGTGTGTGGGATGCCAAAATGACACCTCACCTACCAGCAGCCCAGGAGCTAACCAGGTGCAGGGCTGGCTGTGCACAGATGCCTCTCACAGGTGCTGCGTCCTCTCCATGCCTGCCTTCTGCTCCCGCCTCCCTTAGGAATCAGGGAAAATGCACTTAATCACTCCCTGCCTTAATTCTTTTCTCCATGAAAGGGGAAAAAAGGGAGTAAATATTTATTATTATTCCTCTTTTATTGAGAAAGGAATTAAGATGAGGTGGTGAAGTGTAAATAGTAATATTTACTCATCCTTACCACATGGAGATATTAGGAGGATTTAATGATGGGACTTAGGAAGAAAGGCACTAGGTAAACCCAAGGCATTACATGGTTATTTTGTATTGTAAGAAGAGGGATTTAGGCAGCATAAGAGGGAGGGATTTATGGACACAGGTGTTAGACAATGAGAAAGTTTTCCAAAATCTTCCCCTAGATAATATTTCAGATTATAGAGAGATTCCTGTGTGTCAGGTTAGATTTAGACGTGATTCTCAATGAGCGAGCTTCCAGGACCCTCAATGCTTCTTTCCACGGGATAATTATTTTCCCCCCACAAAGCTCACCCTGTGGCATAAATCCCAAAGGTTCAGGTGGGAATGGAATGCACAATTCCTTTATACCTCCCCAGACAAGGCCAGGCCCTAGTTCCTCCCCAGCATTCTCATAGAAAGTTATTCTCTGACAGATTTGAAAAACTGAACAATGAATGGCACATGTTCTGTAGATGTGCAGCGTACGAAACATTCATTAATAATGAAGTCAAAGAAGTTATAAGAAAAACACTTTTTACACTCTAAATAAATTGCAATCAGAGACAACTGGAATCCATAACTGGCAAAATTTAAAGAAATAAACTACTGACTTACAAGTTCAGAAGAGAAGACTTTGACACCCAAACAAACAAAAGTCATGAAATGGGAGAAAATGTTTGAAGTCATATATTAGATAAGGAGTTAGTATCCAGAACATATATAAAAACAAAAATATGGATTCAGAACTTGAGTAGACAATTCTCCAAAGATGACATAAACTCATGTGTTCAATAAACACATGAGAAGATACTGACTACCACAAATCATTAGGGAAATGCAAACCAGTGTGATGCCAACTTACTACCCACAAGGAGGGCCACTAACAGCAGTTAACACTTGCAATGCAAAAATACATCCACCCCTGGAAGCCTGATCACAGCTGCTTTCTTTAAAACTTTTTTTTTTCTTTTTTTTTGGGGGGGGGGGGGTAAGAAATAGATGCTCAGAGGGCTTATGATTCATTAAAGTTGCTGACCAATTCAGATATAACTGCTAGCCTGTTCTTTTGGAGAATGCTGTTGTCACTCCCCCTGGCACAGTTCTGCCAACATGTGTGTGCACCGTGTACATGAGATCTATGGACATGTGCCCTGAAGGGTGGCCTGGTATGCTGCTTTCTAAAGCAGCACTTAGATTTCCATCCACAGGGTTCCTATTTGTAGGAACAAACACTCTTTCCAGAAGGTGGGCAGGACTCATTCTGCACACAGAGCCTGTCCTCCTGCAGCTCTTTGTTCCCTGGAAGAGAATCTGCAAATGCTGACTCACTGATTCCCTCTAATGAAAAGCCGGAGGCAGCCTCAGGTCTGGGTAAGCACGAATGTTAGAAAGGTCCCTCTAGGCTTACAATGCATTTTTCAATGTTCCGTCTGGAATAGGAATATAAATAGAACTTTCAAGATGCTCCTGTTAGGCTATTTCTAAGAGCAAACAGTTTTTATAATTTAAAATAAAGGCTTTAGAATTAAAATGATTCCCCAAAGAGGATTCTCTTTCCAGACAAATGGAGTAGGAAGGACTGACTTTACCTGCCACCAGAAACAACCAAAACTCAGAAAAAAAAAAATGCTTTTCAAGCTACATATCAGTAGAGGACAACAATCTCGAGGTGAAAATCCAGGATCAAAGCTTTGTGACGCTGGCTTAGACTAGGATTCCTTAGATACAATACCAAAACATGGCTCATAAAAGAAAAAATAATAAATTGGGCTTCATTCAGATGGAAAACTTATCTTCCAATAACATTGCTAAAAGAATTAAAAGAGAAGCATAGACTGCAAATCATATATCTTACAAAGGAATTCTACCTAGATGTAGGAAGAACTCTCAAAACTCAACATTCTTATTAAAAACAAGCAATTCTCCCCCCCCCCCCCCATGAGCCAAAGGGCTGAACAGACACTCTACCAAAGACACAAAGACGGTAAATAAGCACATGATAAGATCATTCATCACCAGGGAAATGCAAATTAAAACCACCACCACACAGTTATTGCGATAGCTACAACTAGGAAGACTAATCTTACCGAGTGTTAGCAAGGATGTGGAGCAATACGAACTCACTTGTCAAAGGAAAGCACAATTAATTGTACAATGACTCTGGGAAAGAGTTTGGCAGTCTCCAAAAAAATGGGAACACATTGCCTATATGACCCAGGCATTCCACTACTAGCGATTCACCCAAGAAAAAGAGAATGATGTCCATTTCAGGACTTGCACATACATACAAAAACTTCAGAGAAGGCAAAGGACAATCTGATAGGCAACGGGTCTTCCATGCAAAATACTGCAAAGTGACATTCTTTTATCAAAGAACCTGCAGAGAGAGAACGTTCCACTGGCATAAACAGATTTCTAAAGGATGAGCCATTAGTTCAAAAGAAATATTAATATTGGTCGTTAAGCCTGCAACATTTTCCTCAACAGAGAAATATCTGAAGATGAATTTCTTATGCAAATCCATGGGTTGTGCTTGGGTGATACAGTTTACCCCCAAATAAGTATGAAAACCTCATAAACATGAAGAACTAAATTAGCATGACTGCATACAACTTACCTTTTTTTTTTTTTGAGCCAAAATTGGAGAAGACGCTTACAAAGTAAAACAAGAAGCACATTTTAAATGACATAAAGCAAGAGATTCAAATCAATATTTTGTAGAAACCTCTAACCAATACCTCAGCTGCATATATAACTGGTTAAGTTAGAAGAAACAATCTCAGAATTTGCTTTCTGTATTTACATTAAGACAAGAAAGAACAGTGAATATAGGATTCAAAATTTGGCAAAGGTTGAGATGATCCACGCTGGCCCTGGACCACTAATAATGTTTTTAGAAGGTTGGGTTATTAGATTAACAGTTGTAGAAGATGGTCCTATGCAATGTGAAAGCAAACAGTCTACTAACCAAACATTCCCTAAATTGCATGCAGAAACGTGAAACTTGACCCGACCCTGGGCCGGGACCCGGGTTCTGCCCTGGTGGCACATGTTCCTCCAGTCCTACTCCCAGGGAAAGCCACACCATGGGCTTGAAAGGAGGTTTGTTACAAACGTGATCTGGAGGAAAATTTCCTTCCTGGTCATCTCTCACCTCCTGCTGCCTCCCACTAGATAACAGACCTTCCTCTTCCCAAGTCCTGAGAACTTTCTCAACTCTCCTACTTCATTTGGTGAACAGTGTGTGGTGGTTGACCCTTCATTGAAGAGGCATCACAGGGCCATACTCACATCATGCATGGAGTCCAGAAGCTTGGTCAGTTGATAGAACCTCTGCCAACTCTGCCCAGAATTGTTGGGACACTTGGTTACCATCTTCCTCAGCTCTTTGATGTAATTTGTCCTCATTTCTTCAAATGCAGCTTGGCTTTTGAGGCCATCCTTTGGAACTGTGTTTAAGGAGAACAGAAACGTAAAACCCCAGGATGGAAAACAGCTTTCACATCTCAGCAGTTAAATGGCCTAGGATATTTTGAGATGGTTAGGTTCCCACTTTTAGATTGATACTGAATCTCAATTAATTGTATTTATTAGTAAATATGGCAGTTATCTTGGTAACTATTGTACACATACATACACAAAAGAATAATAACTGCTATTTATCAGGAGCATGTTATTAAACATTTTGCGCCTATCAGCTTACTTATTCTTGACGTCAGTCTTATGACAACCATTATATTACTCTTATTTTACAGATGAGGAAACTAAGGACCAGAGGTTTAAACACGTGTCCAAGGACACAGAAAACGGGAGAGAAGAGATATAAACCTAGCTTGGTCTGTTTCCAAAGCCTGACTCTTAACCACAATGCTTCATGGCCTTGTGGCTTGTCATCAAAGTGTTTTATGAATCCTGACTTGCCAACACCTCTGAGGAAGGAAAACATACTTTGATTTTCCAGAACAACTGGAAGAGCCACAGACAATCTAAACTGGAGCTAGAATTAGAAAGCAATGTTTTCATATTCAAGTTCAAATATCAAAGACACTTGGGGGAACTGGCCATCTACCCATGGGAGACTGTGTATACAAAGAAGCACTTTCCATTCTCTTTGCTCCAGATCACATGACAATGAGGCAATGTCATGTGACCTCCCAGATAACCTGATGGGGTGGAGGATGTGTGTGTGTGTGTAGTGGCAGGAAAATCTAAAACTTAGAAACAGAAAATAGCATGTTCATCTTTATCTTTGGTAAGGTAGAAAATGAAGGATTATGTTTTCTTTTATGTAGTGACTAGCTGACATTAACATTCTGAGTTGGAAACTGCTCTTAATTACACAGCACATTTATTGCTTTATCCTAACTGCTATACATGATAATTGACAGGGTCATGAGCACTTCAGAATGGCTAAGCATGTTTCTGAATAGTATGTGCAACCCTGGAAGCCAGGAATGCCACTGTTTGTAATTAAGCCTGTGCTTTTCTATAAAGATATGGATTATCTTGAAAAATTAACTTCACATATTAATAATTCTTCCCCTTGAGTTGAATTGGTAAGGCTTTTGATTTGTCTATTTTTGTGGGGGGAAATAAGTCTCTAATAGCAACTGCACAAATTCCTGAGGCTTTCACAGTATTAGTTGTGGTTTTAAATATTTGACATTCACATTAAAAATGAAAACCATCCGTTACATAACTTTTTTTCTTTAAAATTAAAAACTTGTTTTAAAAGTATAAAAATACTAAAAAAAAAAAAAAAAAAAAGGATGGTAATAACCAGGATGTTAATATTAAAGCCATATATCTGTTTTAACCAAAATTTTTAGGTTCACATAAAACTTTCTAAAAGAAACGGAAAGTTTGCACATAACAGCCTATACTTCTCATCCATGTATTAACTTTTGAAGCTATGACATTTTATGGAGTAAACTTTTGTTTTTCAATTTAGAAATATTTATGTGTGTCATCCAATACATTAAAATTTTGCCTAAAATTAGAATAAGTGAATACATTTCACAAATGTATTTCAATACTATTTGGCACAAAATAGAAGATTAAGTAAAGACCTTCATATTTCTGATAGCTGTGTTATCAGAAGTTCTCAAAATATGAACAACCTGTGTCAAATTTTACTTATACATTATTGAAGTGGTTGAAATATAATGTACCAATTTTACGGACAGATATTTTAGAAGCTGAAACAAACCCACAAATAAAGAGAACTTGAGCAAAACCTCAGGTTTTGGAGGTCTGTCCAGATTTTGTGAATTTACTTATTAAGCATCATGGCTGCTGGAAATCGTCCAGAACCTACGGGGCTGCAGAAGAGCAGAGACTACGGGCGGAAGGAAGTCCGCCTGCTCTCCTCTGCGAGCAGAAGGAGCACAGAACTCTTGCTGTCATTGCTAAACAGTCTCCTGATTCGCTGGACATACGGGGTGCAACAATCTTAAGAAGAAGGATGCGTAGGCATTCCACAGATCTGCAAATGAGCAAACTAAAGCCCACAGTTCCTGTGGTTCATAAAATTCTTGTTCTATTTGCTTTTCCTGCATCTATAAAAAATCAGAAATGAAAGTACTGAGCTCCTTGGAAGCTAATACATCAACCTGGACAGCTTCACAATCATATCAGAGTTGATGACAGGCTGGCTGATTAAATGTGCAGGGATGGGCAAATAGGTTACAGTTGTTCAAATGGAAAAATACCAATTAATAAATAATAATACAAGGACAAACTTTTGTGTACTCAAAACTTACTTTTGCCCACTCCTGTATGTAAAAGAGTCAGATACCAATTAAGATTGAGTAGTCAAAATTTATAAATAATTAGAATCACATGAATTTTTAGGAAAAATATTTCATTTAAATTTTCTATTATCTCATATGTGTGCATATTTAAGACGCGTTTCTAATCAGGGATGGTTAATGGCAAAGATTGGAAAGAGGAATGAGATCACTGATTTGAGTATCAGCTTCCAAGGTTACATTCCAGGGAGTGCAGGAGTAGGGACAAAGAGCTTGGATACTGCCTGGCTGGCAGATGAGGGTCTGAATGTAAACAGAGAGGGACGGTGGGGCCTGTGGCAAAGGAGAGAACATGCCCAGGCTCTGGCGATAACATTCTATGAAAGTAAGACAAAAGGCCAAAAGCAACCTAAAAATCCTGCCCCGCCAAACAAAACAGCTGTGAGGTGCCAGGCTGCTGTGGCCCCCTCTGCGGAGTCCACTCGGCCCACACACAGCCCGCTGTCCCTGAGGCCGTCAGGCGCCACGAGCTAACTGCAGGCCTCACTCCCTGCTCCTGGGACAGTGGGGGCAGCTCTGGGCATGAAGTCCACGGTCCTGGGTGAGTCCTGACTCACAGACGGCACTGAACAAATAACTGTGCCTGTTCTGTCAACTCCAGCACTGGGCTGTCAATCTCATTAGATAACAGAAAACTGCCAGGTGCTGAACGTGTGGATTCTTACGCGTGGTCACCACTACATCCCTGCTCCTGCTGGACCTGTCTGAGGCTCCCTCTTCCGCAGGCCCAGTCGCTCTTGGCTGGAAATACAACTCTTCCAGACCACTGTGTCCTCCTTACCTTGGCTACTGATGCCCTTTTCCTCCAAATGACTCTGCTGCTAACAGCCCTTCCCAGCCTGATTCACTGGCCATGGAAGGGCGGGAAGCCACAGCTGGTCGGTCACTCAACAACTCCAACTCCTCTGAGGTCCACGCCACTCGCCCTGGCGTCGTTGGCATCCAGAACATGTCTTGAGTTACCTCAGTGGCCATAGCATGTGGTGGAGGGATTACCTCTCCAGACAGTGGGTCTCCTGCAGCCATTCTTAGTCTGCCCCTCATCCTCAGATTCCTTCCCTGTTGGAACATGCCTATGCCCTTGTCCAAGGAAAAGGTGCTCCCTGTCTTTGCCAAGGCTAATCCTGACCTGTCTCTTCTGGCATCTTATGCCATCAACTCCTACTTGGTTCCAGAAGCTGAACGTAGCTTCTCATCCATCTAAACGTCGCTGGCCATCTGGCACCTGCCTGACGCCTAATCGTCAACGCTGGCAGGCGTCTCTGTGCAAGCCAGGCGGCTCTTCTCGCCCCTGTTGGAAACCGAGTCTTGGCTTCCACGCTGTACACCTCCCCTCTGACAGCTATGTCTCTGTCCATTCCGCCTGTGCCACCCCCTTTCACGTGGACAACTGGACCTGGATCATCTTTCTGTGGCCTGGCAACCCAGTCACCAGTTGAGTCCAGACTATAATTTTCTATAAAGATAATTTCAAGTTTATATCTCAATACCCAAACCAGTCTTCTGAGTGCCAAGCCCAAATTTTCTCCTTCTTTTGGCCTCTGTATTAAGATATGTTTAAAAATGAATTTAAAGATAAAATTCATTTTTTACTCCATAAAACTTGCTCCAAGTACCAATGTTAACACACTTCTCTTAATGGTATTATCACTGCCATCCTGGTCATTCCTCTGTGCTCACTTCTGACCCAGACTAAGTTCATTTCCTCTTTTTCTCTTCCCGTTCATCGTCAACCAACCACCATGAGCCAGTCCATTATTTCATCAGCCTCACAGGTCTCTGTGCTTCCAGACAGGATAGATCCTATCTTTGCCTCTCCTCCCCCCTTTCCTGTCAAATCCATCAAATCCAGTCTACCACCCACACCTCTTCCTAAAGCCACAAATTCAGCTTTGCTCACATCACCCGACTGCTCAGAGCCTTCAGGGTTGTCCTCTGCCCACCCAGAAGAGGCCAGGTGTCTTCCACAGGCACTGAATATCCAGTCCAGTCCACATCCCAGCCCCACTCCCCACTCCTCTCCAGTCCAATATAACCAGATGCACCTTGGAAAATTAAATACTTAAATACAATAAAAATTAAAAATTAACAGGCAACAACTCCCCAGAAGTAACTGCTGTTGCCTGGTGCGCTCTGCCACATTGCCACACCCCCTCTCACAGTTTCTTGCTGGGAATGCCATCCCATTCCTCATATCCAGCCCAGGAACCCTTCCAAAGCTCCTCAAGATCCGCTCCCCCTGCATCCCTCCTTGACCCCCAGAGCTGACCATGCCCTGCCCTTCCCTGAGCCGCCATGACACTCTACATCATAGTAGGCAGTCCCTTCCACATGTATTGCAATGATGTCTAAACTTACAGTAAAACTCACCAAGGGCAGAGACCCTGCCTCAGTTACCCAATCATCCCTGACCTGCCTAATCCTACCATACACATCACAGACACCTAGTGAGCAGGTAGAGGCCGGATGAATGAGGACTGAAGGCATGTGCTCTTTCATATGCCCCTAGCTTTATCCTCTGCAAGTAACCTAGCTCATCAAAGCCTCCCTCCAGCTCCTCAAAATGTTCCTTTTTATACCAACTACCTGATACCCTCCAGCGGCTACTCCCCCAGGGGGAAATGGCCTGACCCGGTAGAAAAGTGCCCGGGACGGGCATCGGCTTACCTGTGCTTAACAGGAGCAGCACTTTCATGATGGTGTACTCTTCAAAGGTGAGCTGCAGTCGGACGAACTGCAGGCTGACTTGGTGCATGCCCTGGCACAGCTCATACATGGCAGACTGGTGCATCTTCTCTCTGCCGAGGAAAAGGGAAAAAAGGGTCTGAAAAAACAAGGTTCCTTGTCAAACCCAGTCTGGGAGCTCCAGGCAGCCTAACGAGAGGGCTAAGTTAGGTGTCATCACGGAGCAGATGTGCATTTTAAAGACAAACTGGATGCCTTGCCCAGTGACGGGGAATGACTTCTACACCCACACCGCATGGGAGCACGTGTCTGGAGCCCTGCGCCAACTCTCAGCGTGCCGTGCTTCCACTGTGTGGTGCGCGCTGCTGTAGTGAGGGCATCCGGACAGCAGAGAAGCCACTGTGATGTGGTTTCCGGTCCGTGTCAGCAGAGAACAAGCACTCGCTGTTCGGAAGGACTGTGCTGGGTGCTATGAACACAGGATAGTGATGACCAAATCCAGTTTCCACCTGGACACCCTGACCCCCCCTTCACCCGCCACACACAGAGGTCTTGACATAAGTTTGTTAACTGATGAAGCACCTTTAAAAAGGGAAATTAGACACAATTTGAAAAGGTGAGAACTTTGACTAGAATTTTTCTGGTAAAGGGAGAAAGTGATGTGGGAGTTTGCCAGATGTTTCCATTCATTCGAACAACCAACCAATCCACATCGTCCACTAAATCCAATGTTGTCATAAAAACTCACATTATGTTATGACAGGAGGCATTATTTTCTCTTTCCATGAGAAGTATGGCATTACTTACAGGTTTTTCGATGTATTGGCTCAGTAAATTGGGGAGACCCTGGGTAACTACTACTTTATATTGAGCAGAATGTAATTAGTGAAAAAGAGAAACAGTGAAAAATGTGAAAGGGCTCGACAAAGGCTGAAGAAATGAACAAAAAAAGGTCATGGTGGGTGATAGAAATTTATGAATAACTGACAGCAGGGCATCTGTGGGAAAGCAACACTGTGATGCCTCTTCCAAGAAGCACTCTTGGGTTCAACTGGCAGAAATTTCTCTCATCACAACTCTGAAAGCCATTTGTAAAGAACTCACAGTGCAAAACAGAATGTTCTGCTCTGCATATGATGATGATGTCATTCCTCTCTAATTATAAGCTGGAAGTTATTTCCAAAGAAGGGAATATTTTAAATACATACACACACACACACACACACACACACACATACACACACAGAGCAATAATAGCAGGAGCTATGCATCTACAATCCAGAATTAACAATGCAAATAAGTGCTAATATGTTTACTATATTTGATTCACATCATTGCACATGGAACATGACAGAGCTCAGGTCTGCTGTGTCTTCCTCCCTGATCCCATTCATCTTCCTCATTCAAGGAGAACCACTCACGTGGGCTGATTACCATTGCCCCTCAGATGTGTCTATTTCCCTGCACATGTACGCATCTGTAAGCAGCACACAGGACTACTTTGTTTTAGTAAATTTGAAACTAGATATGCACGTCTGCCACTTATTTTTAATCCAATGTTATAATTCTGAGATTATCCATTTTAGCACAGATAACTCTTAAGTTCCCTCATTTTCACTGGTACAAGCTTCACTTGTGTGACTATGTCACAATTCACTAATCCATCCTATTAGGGATGGACCCTTGGTGTTTACTGCTACTGCCAGTGATGCTCAAGGAACATCCCTGAGTGCTCCTCTAGGACAGAATGAAGACGGTGAGCTGCAGATCAGATCTGTGCACATCCTTTTCTTCTAACCAGTAAGAGATGAGACTGTCCTTATATCCCACTTTCTACCAATACTTGTCATTATACAATTTAATTCCCGCCCCCCCCCCCCCCCCCAATCTGGTGGGGTTTGAAAGGGTAGCACACTGCTGATTCTATTTGCATTTCCATTATTAACTGTAGGATGAATATTTTTCAAATGTTTTCTGACCATGTGGTTTTTTTCTTGGTGATTTGTCTAATATCTTTACTCATTTTATTGTAAGTTTTTTTCTCTCTTGCTGTTACTAATAACATCTTTATTTTTAATCCTTATCCAAGGGATTTTATATATATAAATGAAAGAGAGAGAGAGGAGAGAGAGAGAGGGGGGGGGAGCATTGATGTTCGAGAGAAACATTGATCAGCTGCCTTTCGCACCTTGACAGGGGACTGAACACACAAAATTGGTATGTGGCCTGACTGGGAATCAAATCTGCAACCTTTTGGTGTATGGGACATGATGTCCTAACCAACTGAGCCACCCAGCCAGGACACTAATACCATCTTTAGTCCAAATATTTTTTGCCTTAAAAAATTTAGTGATATTCATGTTATTCCTTCATCATTCTCTTCCTTTTTTCATGTCTTTTGCTCTGCCTTTAGAATTTGCCTGCTAAACCTTTTTAAGTTCCTTATTTCTAAACTTCCCATATAATTATATTTCACATAAGTCTCTTATAAACAGCAAAAGGCTAGAGTTAAAAAACAAACAAACAAACAAAAAAACACCTTAAAGTCTTTGGATTTTAACCTGTTTTCATCAATTATTATTACCGATATATGATTTTTTTTCTACCATTTTAACGTTATCCCCTCCTTTGCTTCTCTGCTTTTCTCCCTTTTATTGGATTGATGCAGTTTGTTGTTTTTTAAAATCCCCCTCTTTGCTCCTGGACTGGGTTTAGAAGGTATACATTTTATTTTTACTCTTTAAATAATTGAGTTATGAACTTGCATACTTAGACATCTAAAGCTAATCAGTAGCCTTTCAATTAGCAACAGAAATGTAGTATACTTTTTCTTTGGTCTACTGATCCCTGTCTCCCATGTTACTGTTCTTTAGTATTTAAATTCCAGCTTGTTTTCAAATTGGCCATGAATTTTGTCTCTCCTACACATCCACACCCCATGTCTGTTTAGAGTTACCAATGTGTTTCTTTAGCCACCACTGTTTCCGGCATTTCTCTCCTAACTTCTGGGTTCAATTTCTATTTTGAAGACCATTTTTTTTTTGGGGGGGGGGGAATTCTTTCAGTCATTGAATGTTTCTCTTTCAATCTTACGAATAAATTGTGTGAAAATTTTCTTTATATCACCTTCATTCTTGAATTATAGTTTAAAAGTTCCAGATAACTAACTTGACAGGTAAGGAAGCTCAGTACTGTGAAGACGATATTCCACTACAGCTGGGCCTTTAGCGCTGCCTCTGGGAAATTTCTTCTTAGTCTAATCGTCATTCTTTTGAAGGTGACCTGCGTTTTTCTCTTTGGAAGCTTAAAAAATTTTCCTGTGCTAATTTGATGTTTGCAGTTTCACATACTGAGGTGCAGACTGATCCTTATTTCTTCTGCCTGGGGTTCAATATCTGCATTTGATTTGGAAAATGCAGGTATTTCTTCAGTTCTGAAATGGTCTTAACCACCATTTCTTTAAGTATGATTCCCATCCCATTTGTGCTTTTTTTTCTTGTTGAACTCCTATTAGCAGTGTGTTGGACCTCATTTTGTCTTCCACAGTAACTTCCCTTTCTATTATCTTATCATTGTGCTAGCATTCTAAGTGATTTTCTCAGATCTAGTTCCTAACAAATATTTCTTTCTTTCTTTGTGTCTAAATTATTTAATTTCTACAGTGTTTTGATTATAATGGTAATATTTTTCATGTCTAGGTGCCTAGAAATGCTATATTTAGTTCTTTTTCAAACATTTATGTTACATAATATACTTTATTGTCATTATATCTCCTTTCTCTAAATTATATCTTTACCTATTCTAATTCTAAATACATTTAATGCATTTATTTTATAGTTTCCCTGATTTTTTTCCAATTTTTTTTTTAATGCTAATATGCAGCTCCACCATGTATTGTTTTGGCATATATTTGTTTTGGTGAATCCCAGGGCACTGTCTGTGGACGTTTTAGCATTTGTAACTGTCAGGGTATAGGCCTTTCACTTCTTCTGGACTAGTTTTTATGCTAATTTCTCAGCTTGAATGCTTTTTCTGTGATACTTGTTTGGTTTAAATTTAGACCCCATACTTGATGTGGTGCAGGCTTGTGTTTCTTATTTCTTTCAGCTTCCTTGCCATGTCCTGGGCTGCTGGCTGGCTGGCTTGTTGAGTTTTTCCTTCCTTGTTAGTAGACAGAAAATTTTTACAGAGCCTTGGCTCTATGCAGGGGCTCTATCAGGCCCAGCCCTGCTGGAGTTCTAGTTCTTGTCTGCTGTTCCAGTCGGTGTTCTAATACTCACCCGAAGGCATTTATCACATCAAGTAGTTTGTGGGCCAACTGTAGCTTTAGCTCCAAGTTAAACCACTTTGGCTGTGAATTCCATATTCTTTTTCTTTTGAGCTTGGCTATATATTTAAGGCTTTTTTTTTTTTTCTTTTTTTCTGAATGTCTCTGTGTTTAGGAAAAAAAAAAGGCTCAGTTCAGTTCCATCATTCTAATTGTGAACTGCGAGCTTCTTAAAGGCAAGCTCCAGGCCTGGCTAACCTTTTTGAATGCCAAAGAGAATATGATGGACAAGTGCCATAAGTAAAATCTTTGTTTGGTCAATATTGCATGAACGAATAGAGATAAGGAAAGGAAAAGGAGAGAGAACAAGTGAAGACAACAAAAAGAATTAAAGACACAAATTTGCATATGATGATGATGATTAGAGAAAGATAATCCTGAAAATTTACAGAAAGGTTAAATGGCTAATACAATAGATGTGGCATCTGTGAAGTTCTCAAAAAAGAAAGAGATTTAGGTTGTAAAATGGGAGGAGGCAGGTTGTGAATCAGGATGTCATGGAATATAATGCAATGTGTACTGACACTAGGCATTTAAAAGTGCATTCAGGTGTCTTTGATCCCTTCAGCCACCTTGTGCTGGAGGCAGAACAGCCACCCTTGGCTTTGCCACAATAGACTCCAGAGATGTGCAATTCAGAAGCCCTTCCACATGCTGTGCTGTGAGCCTGTGATTGTGTGGCTCCTGAATCCATGCAGTCCTGTGTAACACAGGGATACTAAGAGTAATCCCACCTTCGCAGGGATATAGGAACCAACCTATAGAGGTTCTTAAATTATATATATA